TAGTAGGTTGGTAGACAGCAACTATCCAGGGAGGTACTACCGTCCCCTGGTAGTAGGTTGGTAAACAGCAACCACCCAGGAGGTACTACGGGCCTGTGGTAGTAGGTTGGTAGACAGCAATTATCCAGGGAGGTACTACCGTCCTGTGATAGTAGGTGTCTTTTTTCTGTCTCAAAAACATGCAAGATATCAGGTACGTCCTGCTACTTCTACTTACAAATAGGTCACACTACATATGCATGTACAAGCATATATATACACACCCGTCTGGGTATTCTTCTATTTTCTTACTAGTTCTTGTTCTTGTTAATTTCCTCTTATCTCCATGGGAAGTGGAATAGAATTCTTCCTCTGTAAACCATGCGTGTCGTAAGAGGCGACTAAAATACCAGGAGCAAGGGGCTAGTAACCCCTTCTCCTGTATATATTACTAAATGTAAAAGGAGAAACTTTGGTTTTTCCTTTTGGGTCACCCCGCCTCGGTGGGATACGGCCAGTGTGTTGAAAGAAGAAATATATATATACACCTACTTAAGTAAAAACTTGAGGCTACTCTGGGGTGGAAATGGGTGCCGTTGATCAGTGACATCTTAGTTTGAGTATCAGACATATTGGCGGTCAAAAGTGTGCCACTGATGCAGTGTTTACCTCTTGTGAATTGCAACAAAGTCGTTTTTATTTGGAGTATAATACTGTATATTGTTACTACTAATAATAAAACAATAACAAAACATCGACAATGACAAAAGTAATAAAAATAATAATAATAATCATACGACTACTAATATTACTACTTATAATAATAAAAATAATAATAATAATAATAATAAAATAATAATAATAATAATAATAAAATAATAATAATAAAAAATAATAATAACAATAATAATAATAATAATAATAATAATAATAATAATAATAATAATAATAATAATAATAATAATAATAATAATAATAATAATATATAATAATAATAGGCAATACGAAAATACTGGTTTGGCAACATTCAGCCAAATTCATAATCTGAAAATTATAGCAATTCAAGTCAAAATACAAAAATGAACAATTGAATACAACTGACAGACGAACACAATTTTTGTTCTTTCTACTTTGGTTTTGTGTTCTAATTATTCACTCGTTTGAAAGAGTTGGAATTATCAGTATAACGCAAGAAAAGCATTTACGAAATTTTTCAGTGAGCTTTCTATCTTTTGAAATACTTATTACAAAAGGTTTAGCTAACATCCCGAGGAGAAACAGGCGAGAATATATTAGCCTTGAGTGACCCTGACATGAAGCTGAGGTGTATATAATGGTCAGCTGGAAAGGGATCAGCAGTCAGTTCCTCTCGACAACACAACACACAACATGAACACTAATGTAAGCAACAGAAATTATAAATCATGGGTATTACTCATTTAAAATACATACAAAATAAATTACTGATGAATGTTTTATTGGAATTGTCTTTATTATAGCGTTTTAAAAGTATGTTACTCTTAGATCCTGATTGTGTTGGGCTTGGCAGCTGTGGTAGCAGCAGACAGCAGAGAAACCTTCTCTTACACTGCCCCTCGAGTAAGTCTGTGAAATTTACAAAACTATTTTAGTACTTACATTATACACTATTTTAGTGTCTGGATTAAGTGTGGCCTTAATGACCCTTCTATTGTTGATACATAAATACAACGTATTTAGGTATAAGTTTATTTGATATACATTTCTTTACTAGTTAAAATTTCGTGTTTACCTTACAGAGAGTTTCTTCTGGTGAGTCTTACGAGTCTAGTGAGGCTCAGTACAACTTCAACTATGCTGTGAAACACGACGACTCTGGCAACGACTTCGGTCACCAGGAGACCCGCGACGGTGACGACACCAAAGGGTCGTACTATGTACAGCTTCCCGACGGTCGTCTGCAGACTGTGACTTATTTAGTTGATGGTGACTCAGGCTACTTGGCCGATGTCAAGTACGATGGTGAGGCTCGCTACCCAGACTCCCTCGAGTCCAGAGAGACTCCACGCTACGCCGCACCAAGACCTCGCTACTTCGACTCCAACGAGTCCAAGTAATTACCTGTGTGTTCACCTACTGGCGTTCTGAACATTTTCCTGACGACTTGACCACCTAAAAATCTGTTGAACACTCCTCATAACCAATGAATTTTTCATAAATTATGAATGTTAAAACCATATTTATTTAATAAATTATTATGCATTAACAAATACAGTTACTTCTTTAAAACCTCATTGATCGCCTTGCAAATAGAGATAAAATGGTAGGCTTGTTAACTGGGTTTAAAACCAATCAGTTGCACAAGGATCGTTAAGACTGCATATCATTAGTTCATCACCAGTCAAGAATTCAATAAACTCAACAATAGGGATGAAAGAAAACTCTAAGCGTATATACAATGAAAGATGGATACTCTCCGGAAACATACACTGCGAGATACACACCTCTCGGTGTATATATCCTTGGTTTAAAATATATTTAAATAAACTATTTCAGGCTTAAGTGGGGTTGTTGTTCCTCTCCTTTAGAGCTAAATTTTGACATGTGTCAGGGTCAGAAACTGAGGCTTATAGTATAATAAGTAAACACATAATTCGATCCAGATGTGTATGTGACCGCCTTAACCGTAGTTTGGAGCTGAAGATATTGAAATGCAATTGACTTAACGAATATTGAGGTTACCTCCATAATTGTTAACTTCACTGATCCTGTTTTCATCTCTGATGAATGGTTTTGTTTTCATCTGTTTGAAATCAGTGTTTTGTTTTTTATACCAAAATTTCACCATTAGCGCTGACCCAAGTCGAGTACAAACAATGGGATTAATGACTAACTCCTTGGAGAGCAGCTGTGACTTGTTCAGTAGTGTTGGTTGGATTACCCTAGTTCACATTTCTAAGGGTTCGGGGAGAGGCCTAGATTCTAATCCTTGCTCTTTGAAAATTCTGAAGTATTTTAGTAGGAAATATGTGGTGCCCGCTGGTGCGCTTTTATCCAAGAACCAGATGTTAATCTAAGTGATCAGGTTCTCGGTGATTTTTTTTTTTTTGACGGTCAAGCAAGAAAAAGAGAGAGGCAAGAATCTCCTGGCTGGACACATTGAGTCAATATTGTGCTTCGTAAAGCACTGTTGTAGCACCCTCACGTGCCAGAGGTTTCTGGTACGTGAGGCTAGCTAGCGATGAGTGAACGTGTTGCAGCTTCACAACCTTGTGGGATCCCGAAACCCAACTTCTTTGGAATTAACAAGGCAGCGTCACATCACTGCTAATTGTTCTCACTGCTACTCTGGGAACAAGGCGGCGCGGGGAGCTGTCAACAGCGATGGGCCTAATTCCTCTATCCTTGCGCGTGTGTACTCACCTAGTTGTGGCTGCAGAGGTCGATTCACAGCTCCTGGCCCCACCTCTTCACTGGTTGCTACTGTGTGTGTGTTTAGCTCGCAGAGGGATTGCACTAGAAAAATAAAGAAAAGTCTCTCTCAGGAACTTCACCAGCGAAACAGATATTGGCAAATCTTGTGAGCTCGGACTTGAGGCACTCTCCAACTGCTGAGATGAACATTTGTTTGATGCGATGTAAACTTTTACCTCGTGAAACCAACCCCCAGTTCTATTCATAAAGGACGAGACTTTCTTTTACACTTCTGGTTCTAATGGTTCTGCTCTGGTGGTATCGTGATGAGGATCATTGTTGTTAGGTGCTCTAGGCTGGTGTCTGCCTTCAGGAACTTCGGATACGCTGAAATCTCTGGGGGCAATTGTTTCATTGTTATGTAGAATAATAGACAGGCAGACATAAACAGGTTGTGAAATGCTACAGTGCTTGATTGAAGATAAATGTCGCTTTTTGGAAAGCCAACAAGTTTGGCATCGGCGTTAGTAAGATACCTAATAAACAGTTCAGCTGTTATTTAATTGCAATGAGAACAGTTTATTTCCTTGAATGTAGGATATGAGATCAGTTCGAATGCATAATAATTTATTGTAAATATATAGCTTTTTACATACATAAATAAATTATATTTAATATAATGGGCAATGGTCGTCAGGCTAGAGTTCAACACAAAGTGTTCACATCGTTAGGATAGCGTTCAACACAAAGTGTTCACATTGTCAGGATAGTGGATAGTGTTTACTGCAGCTGCTAGTGATCACACAGGTAATTACTTGGACTCGTTGGAGTCGAAGTAGCGAGGTCTGGGTGCGGCGTAGCGGGGGGTCTCTCTGGACTCAAAGGAGTCTGGGTAGCGAGCCTCACCATCGTACTTGACATCAGCCAAGTAGCCGGAGTCACCATCAACTAAATAAGTCACAGTCTGCAGACGACCGTCGGGAAGCTGTACGTAGTACGACCCTTTGGTGTCGCCACCGTCGCGGGTCTCCTGGTGACCGAAGTCGTTGCCAGAGTCGTCGTGTTTAACAGCATAGTTGAAGTTGTACTGAGCCTCACTAGACTCGTAAGACTCACCAGAAGAAGCTCTCTGCATAAAATATAATATTTTATATATTAGTTATTATATAGTAATGAGAATACAAGCTTCTCATCTATCCTTACTCAACAAGAGACAACTAAAGTTTATTAATAACAAACCACAACACGGTCATCATACACGTGGAAAAATTTGTCCACAGAAATATAATAAATTTGTAACTTGTATATTTCTCTTGTTTATACTAGATTTCCAACATTTTGATGCGAGACAAACCTGCCAAAAATGGACTTATATGCTCATAACATGGAAAGAGCTTTACTTACCCTAGGGGCAGCATAAGAGAATGTCTCCCTGCTGTCTGCTGCTGCTAAGGCTGCCAAACCCAACACAATGAAAATCTTCAAGTAGAATATAAAGCAAATGTTAATGGCCCAAACAATATATAATGTATTCATTCTATCACCAGTTTATAATGTGTAGGAGCTTTATATTTTAAATGGAAAACATATTGAAATTAGTTGTCATTGGCTATATGAGATGCCCACCTTGATGTTCATGTTGTGTAGTGATGTCAAGAAGCACTGACTGACTGACTGCTGTTCACTCTGCAGCTAACAGTTATATATGGACCCGACTCACCCCACCCAGGTCACTCAAGGTCACATTTTGTCTGTATTTTCAACCTCCTTTTGGCCTGGAAACTCACCTGACCTTTCATAATAGAAATTATAAAAGGAGTGAAATGATACTAGTAGTTAATATACACAAATAACCTGCACGTAGGAAAGAGAAGCATATGAAGACGCTTCGGTCCGATTTAGACTATTTACAAGTTACACTGTGACGGGTTATTTGTGTATTGTTCATGTCATAGTATTGTGCTTTTTTCTTCTTTAGTAATTAATATACTTTTTACGTTTCGTTACATATTCACTTACTGTCGTACTATCAATGCCTATATGGATCACTGAGAAACTTTCACAGCATTTCTTTTGCATTAAAAGGATCACCACAGCAGCTTCTTAGTATATTTCCAGCGGTATATACACCTGTTGCTTTCTGGCCATTATGGATAACCTCATATAAACACTTTATGTTTATTTACGGTATTCGAGGTCAAAATGTCTGGCAGAATCAGCTCTATGAGGCTCTGAACTTTTTCCACGCGCTTTAATCTTGACTGGTGGCAAGGATGTTTAATGTTTACATGGGAAAGGGAAGGTCTGGGGTAGGATAGAGCAGTGGATAATGTTTTTTAGAGGGTATTAACAGATAAACAGGAGAAGTTATGCGGCTGGAACACTTTGGTTGGATTTTAATAGCTCGATTGGTAGTGCACTTAGATCACACATTGAGGTCCGTTGCCCGATCCCCGGTACGGGTGGAAACATTAGGACGTGTTTCCTTAAGACACCTGCTGTCCATTTTCACCTATCAGTTAAAACAGGTACCTGGGTATTAGTGAACTGGTCTGGGTTGCATCCTGGGACAAAATTGACCTAATTGGCGGGAAATGCTCAGCATAACAAGGAACTTTCTATATAGTAGTATGTCATTGATGTCAGCTATGGTCTGTATACCTTGGACATGTACTTGTAGAAATAAAGATTATTATTATTATTATTATTATTATTATTATTATTATTATTATTATTATTATTATTATTATTATTATTTTTATTATTATTATATATTATTATTATTATTATATTATTATTATTATTATTATTATTATTATTATTATTATCATTAACCGATGTTTTTTTGCTTTATTGCACCTGGACAGAGTTTCGGGGGTCAACGCCCCCGAGGCCTGATCTGAGACCAGGCCTCGTGGTGGATCAGGGCCTGATCAACTAGGTTGTTACTGCTGGCCGCACGTAAATCGACGTACGAACCACTTCCCGGCTGGTCAGGTGCTGACTTTAGGTATCTGTCCAGAGCCTTCTTGAAGACAGTCAGGGGTCTATTGGTAATCCCCGTTATGTATGCTGGGAGGCAGTTGAACAGCCTTGGGCCCCTGACACTGCGTTATCTTATAGCGTACTCGTGGCGCCCGTGGTTTTCATTGCAATAGCCTACATGACATAATATATTTTAATATTTCTGTTCTCGTTTTTTTCAATACTTCTCACCATTTTATAATTCGATTTTTCAGAAATTTGAAGCTTAATAAAAAAAATAACTTTTTTGTTGATTGCGTTGTTAAATGGGTCATTAAAGCTCACCTAATTGTGGTTGCAGAGGTCGAGACTCAGCTCCTGGCCCCGCCTCTTCACCGACCGTTACTAGGTCCTCTCTCCCCCTGCTCCATGAGCTTTATCATACCTCGTCTTAAAACTATGTATAGTTCCTGCCTCCACTACATCGCTTGCCAGACTATTCCACTTTCTAACTACTCTATGACTGAAGAAATACTTCCTAACATGTAATCTGTATGTAATCTGCATGTAATCTGCTCACATTTTGTCAAGACAAATCCCTAAAATTGGGAGCAAAATAAATTCTCGGTATAAATACAAGGGATACCGAGCCATTATAATTTACACCTGGAAAGCCTAGAGGGATTGTCCCAAATCTGTGCAGTAATTATTTCCATGAGGCCTGGTCAGAGACCGAGCCACGGGGGCGTCGACCCCCGGAACTCTATCCAGGTATACTCCAGGTATGAAAACAAGAGGCTTGGCA